GCTCATAGATCGATAGAAGTGTGTTAAAGGTTGTTGAAACAAGTGATGGAAAATGAATGATAAAAACTGCTTTCAGATTCAAAACATGCAATCCTATGGTAACCTCAATTTGATCTTTAAAACATCTTCGTAAGTAGATAAGCTGGGAATTATTCATGATCTCACTTAAAAAAATAACAGTTGTATTGAGATAATTAATGTACCATAAAATTCACCATTTAGAGTGTATAATTCAGTGATTTTTAGTGTATTCACAAGGTTGTGCAACAGTCACCACTCTCTGATTACAGAACATTTCCAACATCCCCCAAAGAAACCCATACCCTTTAGCAGTTGCTGCCTAGTCTCCCCTAGTAAGCAATAATCTGCTTTCTGTCTCTATGAGTTTGCTTGTTCTGGACATTTCATATAATTGGAATCATCCAATATGTAGCCTTTTGTGTCTGGCTTTTTTCACTTAGAATGTTGTTGAGGTTCATCAGTGTTATAGTTCGTATCAGTACTCCATCCATTTTATGGCTGAGTAATAATACAGTATATGGATAGACTATGATTTGTTTATCCGTTCATCAGACAGATAGACATTTAGGTGGTGTCCATGTCTTGGCCATTATGAACAGAGCTGTTATGAACATTCACGTACAAGATTCAGCACAAGTCTTTGCACAGACATGCGTCTCCATTTCCCTATATACCTAGGAGGGTTGGAATTGCTGGGTCACATGGAAATACTCCATGCAACTTTTTGAGGAACTTCCAGATAGTTTTCCAAAGTGACTGCACCATTTTACCTTCCCACCAGGAATGTCTGAGAGCTCCAGTTTCTCTGCATCCTCTCCAACACTTGTTATTATTTGTTCCTTTTATTATAACCAGCCTAGTGGCTGTAGCTCTCGTTTTCTAGGTAAGAACGTAGAGGGTGTGTTTTTTGTCCAAGTTTGGAGAGCTGGTAAATGGCCAAGCTTGAACATTTTTTTAAAAAAGCAAATATTTATACGAAACATGCTCTGTGTCAGGCATTGTTTAAATCCTTTGCACTTAAGTTGTTTATGTTTTACAACAACCTGGAAGCAAGGCAGTATTATCATCTTTATTTATTAATGTATGCAGGGCCAGGGCTGGATCTGAGATGCAACATTTAAGGAGACATCACAATGCTGAGAGTGACTATCTCTTTTTTTTTTTTTATCAAATTGGAATATGGTTGCTTTATAATGTTCTGTTAGTTTCTACTGTACAGTAAAGTCAACAGCTATACATAGAGAAGGCAGTGGCCGCCCACTCCAGTACATATGCCTGGAAAATCCCATGGACGGAGGAGCCTGGTAGGCTGCAGTCCATGGGGTCGCTGAGAGTCAGACACGACTGAACGACGTCACTTTCACTTTTCACTTTCATGCATTGGAGAAGGAAATGGCAACCCACTCCAGTGTTCTTGCCTGGAGAATCCCAGGGATGGCGGAGCCTGGTGGGCTGCCGTCTTTGGGGTCACACAGAGTCAGGCACGACTAAAGTGACTTAGCAGCAGCAGCAGCAGTGTATAAAATGTCGATCCCAGTCTCCCAATTCATCCCCCTCCTTCTCCCTTGGTTATCTATCCATTTGTTCTCTCTGTCTGTGTCTCTATTTCTACCTTCTAAATAGGTTCATCTGTACCATTTTTCTAGACTCCACATATATGCATTAATAAACAATATTTATTTTTCTCCTTCTAACTTACTTCAGTCTCTATGACATTCTCTAGGTTCATCCCCATCTCTGTGAATGACCCAGTGAGCACCTCCATTTGCATCCTACGTGTTTCAGAAGGACTAGTGACAGACCCAGATTGCATAATTAGCAGGTGGCAGAGCTGGGGTTCAAACCCAGGAAACCTGGCTTCAAAGTCCAAGTCTAACAACTGCTATACTAACATCAATGTCCTTGACTTTCAAGTCAGGCTTTTTCTGTTACTTTCTCAAGACCTAACCTTCTAAACTTAGCTACGACTTTGACAAATGGAAAAATCCCAGAGCTGGGTGATGGGCAGATGAAGCAAAATTGATCAACCTAACAGCTCCCAGGCACCTACCACATGAGCCCCTGGAAGGGTTAACTGGCTGCACAGATCCCCTCGGCCACATCTGTGCTTATTATCCCAACTCTGCATAAATCTACCCTTGCAAGTGGCCAGATGGACTCTGTCCTGTGGGGAAGAGGCCATTCTGAACCATCAGGATTATTAGCTCTGACCGGCTGTAAGGGAAACACACATTGTCCTGGCCAAGTGGGGATGAATCTGCTGCTTGTCCAAGTGTTCTGAGTCAAGAATTCAGAAATCATATCTCTCACAAGCACACTCTAATTGGCTGCTCATTCTCTGTAGTCTGTTTAACAGAATTAACTGGTCGCTTGTTTCTGAATCATCCTCTTTCCAATGGTGTTGCTGTTTGGATGGGTTTTGAATGGTTCTTAGCAGAGCCTCCCATGAGGCAATGTGAATATAAAAATATACATTTGCACATGTATATGTTACCCCCTCTGGGGTGATGGGCAGCCTTTGAAAAGATGCTTACACAAGTCATTGGCCAACTCTAAGTTCTCCCTCTGCCTCCTGGACTTCCCAAGAGCAAGGTCAAGTCAGTCTGGGTTCAGCACCTCTCACTGATTGAGCTACAGCAGTGCATCCTGGCTCAAACCAGCAGAATTTTTGTCTGTGTCACAGGCTAAGAGGTTTTTGAAACAATTTTATAGCTATCTTTCTCCATTAAACCTGAAAAAATTTGTTGTTGCATTCTTACTCTTTTGCTTGGAATTTCTGTTCTATTCTGTGACTTTGTCAAAGTAGTGGGTCTGTGGACCCCAGCATCACCATTATCACCTGAGAGCTTATTAGACATGAAGAATCCTGCCCCTTCCCCAACCTACTGAGTTAGAATATGCCTCTCAATAAGATTTTTGTGCACATTCAAATTTGAGAAGCGTCACTCCACGTGTGTTTATTTCTCTATTACCTTTGGTTGGGGTTTCCACCCGTACTTACTTTGAAGCTAGAATTTTTATTAGGCTTTCAGATCTTTAAAAAAAAAGAAAGACACACACAGAGAAATTCTTTCCTTCACTTTTGCATGATGTCATTCATTTTACCTGGCCTGCCACAAGAAGAAAAAAGCAAATTACATCCAACATATATATATGTGTGTGTGTATACACACACACACATATATGACTAACTTCTTAATTGCATCTCTTAAAGCAGCATTCTGAAACCCCCATCATTAAGAGTCTTAAGTGTTGCCAAGATTAATTGAGAAATGCCTAAAGGCAAAATAAACACCAGCACAGTTTAACTCAAAACTATATCAGCTAAGAATGAAGGTGCAATTTGTGATAAAGATGTTAATAATTAGTTGTGGTCTGTTAAATTTTATATTCAGTGGTTCTGTAGAGTGAAGAAAGAATTCTTCAAGAGGGCAGAAATTAGTGTTTCACCTTGATTGCTGTTTTAATGTGCTTATTTTAACGGGGTCATCCTGTAGGAACCCTTGGGCACATTTCCAGTTTTACATAAATGTAGAATTAATTATTATGGAAGCATATAATTTTAGAGCTGGAACAACCTTCACAGTCATTTAATCCAGTTCAGTCATTTTACAAATAAGTAAGAGTTATGTGACTTACTTAAATCCTTCCACACAGTATTGGAACCTTGCTTCCCACCTCTCAGATGAGTGATGATGAAACCTCCTGAGATTACTCAGATAGAAGTTCTTCCTCTTGCCTCAGATTACCAGCGCATTTCTTGTTGTATTGCTTCCAAGGCTGTTTCCCCACCTTGTGTTATGTTCTAGTTACTTCCAGTTGTATGGTTGGGGTCTCGGGAACCCCATCTGATTCACTTTTATATTTCTTCATCATTCCTAGCTCTGTATTTTGAAAACAGTAGTTGTACAATAAATTTGCATGGAGTGGTGTGCTAGAGCTGGTTTTGCCTCTTTGCTAGAGCTGATTGTGTCTTCACATTGGTAGCTTGCAATTGGCCATGGTGGGAGCATTTGCACTATGGAAATGGACAGAAGCTATAAATCAGGGATTTTTTTCTCCCTGGGGGGAAAAACCCCTCTGTTTACATAATTGTCATAAGATCCCACTGGGCAACTGCTCTTGGCAAAACCTAAAGATCCATACGAATGTGAAGATGGCCCTTTACCCATTATTCCTTGTGAGTTGACTTAAATGATGGAGTAGCCAGTTGCTCAACCTCCACAAATTTCTTCAGGGATTGAGTTTGACCCAGGGAAAGTCAAGGCTCAGGACTGCATTAGTCTTTGGTTGCTTAGTTAAGTTCCTCTTGCCTGGAAAAGCTATTTGGACATGAATGGTCATGGAAACAGGGTCTGAAATATTAGTACAGTTGAGTAAGGAAAAAACCCCACTAACTATTATTGGCAGGAGAAAAGTGAACAAGATGTTACTATGGCTGAGATGACTATTTTCTCTTTATTCTTCTCAAATACTATATATAAAATAGATAACTATTAATAATGAGAACCTACTGTATAGCACAGGGAACTCTACTCAATACTCTATAATGGCCGATATGGGAAACGAATCTAAAACAATGGATATATGTATAACTGACTCACTTTGCTCTATACCTGAAACTAATACAACATTGTGAATCAATTGTAGTCCAATAAAAATCAAAAATCCTTCAGTGGCTCCCTACAACCTACAAAACACCCAAACTCCCTGACATAAGACACATACTAGCCACAGCTTACTGTTCTAACTTCATTTTCTACCGATCACATCACCCACTGTTGACTCCACTTTCATTCTACGTTCCAGCCTCTGGAGAGCTTCTGTTTTGGCCTAACCCTTCCCCTGGAAAGCTCTCCTGTTACCTCTCCGTTCCACCACAGGCTCTCTCCCAGGCTTCTGTTCCTACCCAGTCCCCTCTCCCATGGACCAGAGGCTCTGGATAACATGAAAATCCTCTCTTGTGTGTTTCTCTTTAGGAGCAGGACCCGAGGTCCCATCGGCCCTGGCAAGTATGGTTATGGGAAGGCCCCGTACATCTTGCCATTGCAGACGGATTCTGCACACCCACCCCAGAGGCTTCGGCGGCAGAAGCCCTCACCCCGGAATTCCAGGTCCCAGGGGGCCGCTGGCTCTAGCCATAGCTACCACCCTTCAGCTCAGCAGGCCCCCCAGCATGGACCTCTGTACCAGAGTGACAGTGGCCCGCATTCTGGACTGCAAGCCTCAGAGGGCTCTGTCTACCAGCTGCCTTTGACCCGTGACCAAGGCTTCCCTGCATCCTCCAGTCTCTTCCACAGCCAGGAAGCAAGCAGCAGCCCTGGGCTGGGGGCCCCCAGGGCAGCTCAGAGCTTCTCCCAGCCCACCAGATCTACAGCCATCTCCTGCATCGGGGCCTATCGGCAGTACAAGCTGTGCAACACGAACGTGAGTACATCCCGCCCGAGACTGGCCCTGGAAACAGCTGCTTCTCTCATCTTTCTGTTGGTCGGCAGTATGCGCGATAGAAGACAGCAAGGGCACGGTTTTTTAGACCGTGTGAATGCTCCCTTCCTCTCGTTCCTCTTCATGTGTTCTCCCATATACTTTTTTAAGGTTATTACTTTAGTAACTTACAGATGACTTCTGGAGTCATTTATTGATGATCACTATTGCTGATCAAGCCTACTGCCACATTCTCACTGGCTTTATATTAACACAATTTTTTTTTTTTGCTTATTGGCCTGTGAGTCAGGTGCAGTTTAGCTAATTTAGGGCAACCAATGATGGTGCCAAAGATGGGGGAGTTTGGGGAGATTTGACTATCATGGGTATCATCCAGTAAGTTTCCTGGAGGTTCCCTGAAAAAGTCTGACAGTGAAACACTGCTGAAGATTCCATAGCTGATGACTCTCCAGCAAAGCAAGTTATAAATGGAAGCTATACAAGATGACCAAAGATGCTTTTTAAAAAAAAAAAAAAAAAATTAGTTTGTGTGCTGTGCTCACTCAGTCATGTCCAACTCTTTCGACCCCGTGGACTCACCAGGCTCCTCTGTCTATGGAATTTTCCAGGCAAGAACACTACAGTGGGTTGCCATTTTCTCCTCCAGAGGGCCTTCCTGACCCAGGGCTTCAACCTTTGTCTCCTGCATCTCCTGCATTGGCAGGAGGATCTTTTTTTTTTTACCACTGAGACACCTGGGAAACCAATATATCAGTTTAAAGACTTTATATTGAGTTGGCCAAAAAGTTCTTTTGGGTTTTTCCATCTTACAGAAAAGCCTGAAAGAACTTTTTGGCCAACTCAATATAAAAGAGAAAGAAATAAGAGAATCTTTAAAGGTTAAATTTCCAAGTTGCTATATTTCTCATTAATTATTTAATCTGCCTTAATAGTCTTACTGGGTAACAGGACAGCTGTTATATATTAGCTTCAATTTCCTCATTAAAAATATATTTCCTGCCACAGAGTCCATAGAAATGACTTAATTTGTGATTTTAATAATTCCTCTGAATGCCTGGATTTCTTTTCAGCATGTTCTTCCACTGACAGACTTCAGGAATTATTGATTTTTTAAAGCAGTAATTTTCCTGAAGCCATTACTAATCAGTCAACCAGGAAGTCTTAACTGAGCATCATTGCTTGTCTTGTAATGGATGAGGCTCCATGGAAGATAGAAGTCATATTATCTACCTCATAGAGTTGTTATGAGGATCAACTGAGCTGATATTAAGAAAGTGCTTTGTAAACAAAACAAAACAAAACAAAATACTTGTGCTCATCATAAGACATGGTCCCTGTTCTTGAATATCCATTGCAATTCTTTTAAAATGAAATTAGTTAATTTCTAATGTAGAATACACTCTCCCATTGATTAGTATGTGTCTTAATTTTGAGGACCAAGTAATCCATGAAGAGAAGGAAAAGAGAGAAGGCATTTAGCATATATCATCTTCCCAGGTGGTGCTAGTGCTTAAGCAGGAGAAATAAGAGATGTGGTTCAATCCCTGGGTCTGGAGGATCCCCTGGAGGAGGGCATAGCAACCCACTGCAGTATTCTTGCCTGGAGAATGCCACGGACAGAGGAGCCTGGTGGGCTACAGTCTACCGGGTCACAAAGAATCGGACGTGACCAAAGCAACTTAGCGCACCCTTAGGACACTCAAACAGACCTGATGTAAACTTAGCATTTCTTTCATTTAACCTCTGTTTCTGAAGCATGCACTTTTTTTCCAGGCCTATGCTGCCAACAGCAGGGCTGTATTTGCCTATGTAGAAGCTGTGGTTTCTTCTGGTGCTGGGTAACTCCACTATTGAGGAGACTGAATTGCAAGGAATGTTTTTTTAAATTCTCGTGAATTCATGATGTCTGCATCATTTTGCAAATAGGTAAAGCAGTGTCTCACACATCTTCTTAGACAAAGAAGTAAATGTTGACAAAGGATTGTACAGGTTTAAGTCCCTTCTTTTCACTGTAACACTTTGCACCCCGTCACCCCAAGCCACATCCTACTTATCCTTATTGAGAGACATGTTTCCTTAGAGGTCACAGTAATACACATCTTCTTTTTAAAATACTGGGGTATGGTTGCTTTACAATGTTGTGTTTCTGCAGTAGAATGAAGTGAATCAGTTATATGTATATGTATATGTATATGTATATTCCTCCTTCTTGGACCTCCCAACCCCCACATCGATGTGGCCACAGAGCCCCGAGCTGAGCTCCTAGTGCTTTATAGGAGGTTCCCACTAGCTGTGTATTTTACACATGGTAGTGTACATATGTCAGTTCTAATCTCCCTATTCATCCTACCCGCTTCGCCCTGTGATGTTCACATGTCCCTTCTCTACGCTTGCATCTCTATTCCTGCCCTGCAAATAGGTTCATCTGTACCATTTTCTAGATTCCACATATGTGCTTTAATATACTTTATTTGTCTTTCTCTTTCTGACTTACTTCACTCTGTGTGACAGACTTTAGACCCGTCCATGTCTCTACAAATGACCCAGTTTGGTTCTTTTTATGGCCAAGTAATATTCCATTCTATATATACAACACATCTTCTTTATCCATTCCTCTGTCCCAGTGTTCATTGCAGCACTATTAACAATAGCCAGGATGTTGAGGCAACCTAAATGCATATCTTCTTTTTTTCAGCCCATGGCTTCTTGTGATTTGGGCTATGCCCCATGAACACTTTAAGACTCCCTGTTAGTGGCTCCTAGAACCACGCCTTGGTCTAATGATTTGTAGGAAGACCCACTGGGCTCAGTATACAGTTGAAGGCACAGCTGTGATTTATGACAATGAAAGGCTACTGGGAAAATCAGCAAAAGGCAAGGTGCATGGGGCCAGGTCCAGAGGAAAGCAGGCTCAGTCTTCCAAGAGTCCTGTCCCTGTGGAGTTACATAGGATGTACTTCTTCATTCCCTCAGCAGTGAGTTATTACACGTGTGAGATATCATCTACCAGGGAAGCTCATTACAGACTCCATGGCCAAGGTTTATACTGGGGCTAGCTCAGAGGCACCCTCTGCTTGCTACTTACTAAAGTGCCAGGCTCCCAGAAGAAAAGCAGGGGCTTAGCATAAAATATATTGCTTGTACAATATAGCTGGAGCATAGTGACTCACTCTTACTACTTAGGAAGTGGTGGGAACCCTTCTGAAATCCAAGTCCCCAGACATCAGCCAAAGACCAACCTTGCAAGCAGGCTTTTCTGAGAGCAGTCTCGTCCTGCTGGGCTGTCTTATTTGTGCATTCTCCATGTGGACCCATGGTTTCCAGCATCTTAGCCTCAATGACCTTATATAGACATGTTCGTATACTTCTTAATGTCCAAAAGGGGTGATTGCATGAGTCCCCCAATTATGTAAATCTTCCTACTCAAAAATGAAAGAGGTGAAGGGCAGTGCTATGAACAATTCCCTGTGAACAGGGAGTGCAGGCTTTCACTTATGTCCTTTCAAAGATTAAAAAATAATGCATACATTTAGAGTTCTCTCCCAGTTATCTTGTAGAAGAAAAAGAAGGGAGAGTAACCCAGGTCTGGTTGGAAATATCCACTGATTTCAGAACTTCGTCCCTTTAATTAAGTGCCCAGTGCATCCCACCCCAGTTGTTTTATTTATTTTTTATTAAAAAAATGTTTTTGGCTGCACCACAGGGCATGTGGGATCTTTGTTCCCCAACCAGGGATTGAACCAGTGCACCTGGCAGTGGAAGCTCAGAGTCTTAACCACTGCCTCCCCTCCCCAGGGAAGCCGCTCCCACTCCAGTTCTTGATGGAATGCCCCCTTTCTAAGACTTCCTTCACAGTAAGGGGCTCAGTTCTGAGCTGTGAGGTCATGTGTATGGCAGGTGGTCTGAATTACGGGAAATGTTTTTGCAGGCTTCCAAATCTCGGAACAGTGTCTCATCACTGGTCATGATGTCTCCTTCAACACAGCGGAGAAGGTGCTAAATGAGCTACTTGTAAGTCACTCGCTCAGTGCTGGAGCACGTAGTGAGGGGAAGAACTCTCGGAGTGTAGGGCAGGAGGCCACAGGGTTGGGGAAGGGAGCAGTTGAGCTGGGCTTTCAAGGATGGCCAAAACAGGGGAAGGAGCGTTTGAGGTCAAGGAAACAGCATAGTCACGGACAAGACAAGCAAGTCACGGTGCCTGCCCGTGGCGGGGACTCTCTTTTGACCTTTTACCTCCTCTTTTGTTGTTGTTCAGTCCCTCAGTTGTGTCCCTCTCTTTAGTACTCCATGGACTGCAGCACGCCAGGCTTCCCTGTCCTTCTCTACCTCCTGGAGTTTGCGCAAACTCATGTTTTTACCCTCTTGCCTCCTCTTATCCACTATAAATAATCACAGTCTTTCTCCTTTCTTTTTTTTTCATTAACTTTCTTTATTTTATTCTTCCTTTTTTCATTTCTTTCTTACCTGCTGTGCTGTGCATGGCATCACCATCTTAGTTCCCCAACTGGGGATCAAACCCATGCCCTTTGCAGTGAAAGTGTGGAGTCAACCACTGGATGGTCAGGGAAGTCCCAAATAATCATGGTCTTAATGGGCAATTTATTCTTTAACATCTCAGAATACAGAAAAATCACATGGTCTTGCAGGTCTTTCTTACATGAGATTGACGGGTGAGAAACATTTAAACACAGTAAAAAATCAGAAAACAATTCTAATCAACTGTCTTAGTTGGTTAAGTCTTAAAGCTTTAGTGAGCTTGGGAGCAAATCTGAGCTGGATATAAACCCCAGCTCCAACACTGGGAGTTGAGTTTCCTTGGCCAAGTTACTTAACTCTTTGAGGACTATCTGTAATCTGGGGACAGGAATTGTACCTACTGCACAGAGTTGTTGTGAGGTTCAGATAAGGTCAGGTTCAAGCTTGGCATGTGCTGACACACAGTTAGCAGAAAAAAGTTTTGGACCTGGATAAGTGAATGTGGC